GACATCAAGAGAGATAGTATTGTTTAATCCTCACTGGGGAAGAAAAGTGAGGTTCAGAGAGGGCATGCGACTTTCCCAAGGTCACACAGCTAGCTACATGCTGGTTCCCAGATTCTGTATGACTCTAGAACTTATTCTCTTGACACTATGTTATCTTTAGTGACTGCAGGCTGCAGGGATCAGGAAAGGCTTTATGAAGAAGGGAACTTGAATTGGCCCCCATGATAATGCTTGGTAGAGTAGACTGGTTGAGGTACTGTTCTACTAATAGGTTGTGTCCCATAAAAATGTAAATGAGGAGAGGTAATTTTATGTTTTTTTAAAAAGGTTTATTTTAGTGCTTTGGGAAGCCAGAATTGGAGTAGCAAAATATCCTTGATAAGAAATGTTATTTTGCATTATATGAAGTCATAAACCCATCATACATCCTTGTAAGTGATGAATCAATTGCTCAAAAATGTGCTTCTCAATGCCTCTTGGTAATGCAAGAGAATTACAAGTTCTTTGCAAAATAATGCACCCCGTCTCTCTTTCTCCGAACAAATTGCTGAACTTTTCTGTAACTTAAGAACAAAAAGTGACTTTTTTTGTGTACCAAGTAGGAATAATTTTGGTTAAAATGCAGTCAGTTAATTGTCTTTTCTAATCTTCCACCTTTCACAAGTTCCCAATATACCATAAATTCTAACTTTAATTTTCAATGAAAATCCTAACATAGTAACTGAAAATTATAGTCTAGCTTAAAACTGCATTTCTCCTTATACTTTTTTTTTCCTATTTCATACCTTTGAATATTGGTGAAATGTACCTTAGAAGGAAATGAAAACTTCACAATACTTTCTCTACCGTTTTCCATTTTTTTCTAGGACCTTTCCCACTCCATCTTACCAGGATGCAGCAATGCAGAGAGGGGAGATGGACTTCCTAATACTAAGGTTCTCATGTGCCTTTTAAGATGTTCTCATAAATAAGAAATATTCTATAGGTGCCCACACTTGATATAGGGCCCACTGCAGAATACAGGCTGAGCAAATGGCAACTGAGTCTTACTGAATACACAGACCCCTAAATAGTTTTAAAACGGAAGTCACGAAGCACAACACTCATGACTTTTAGGAACTTTTTTTCCCCCAAAAAGATACAAACAGGAGGATAAATGAACAAAAGGAGAAGAGAGGCTACTTAGGTGGGAGGATGTGAGGCTGTACCTTGTTGATGATGTGTATCACTCCGTTTGTGGCTGCGTTGTCACCGTCAATGACGGATGCGCCTTCAATTGTGATATTCTGTAACGCAAACCACAGCGGGAAGGTGAGTCTCCCTAGAGTACACCTAGGGGTTGAAATTATTTATGGGTTTTCCACTTTTTGAGCAGTAGTGACCTTATCACTTTTGGACCATGTCCCACTGTTAGAAGTATCTTTCAACTGTGACCCATTAGACATCACACACACACACACACACACACACACACACACACACATGCACACACCTGAAATGAAATATACTTTCCTCTACTATGCAGGAGGTACCTGATCATCGATTCCTTTCCACCCTATTCCATTTTGTTAAAAAAGTGCTGGTCGAGGCTTACTAAAGTGAGCAGTTTGGAAAACACTGTAGACAGTGTTGTGGCTTGAACTGTGTCTCTAAAATGCCTATGTTGGAGTCCTAACCCCAGGACCTCAGAATGTGAGCATGTTTGGCCGTAGGGTCTTTACAGAGGTAATCCAGTTAAATGAGGTCGTTAGGGTGGGCCCTAATTTAATACAGCTGGGTGTAAGAAGAGGCAATTTGGACACACACAACTGTACAAAGCGAATACCATGCGAACACAAAGAAGGCCACCTACAAGCCACAGGACAGAGCCTGGGACAGCTCCTTCTCTCAGAGGTAACCAGCCCTGTGATCTTGGGCATCTAGCCTCCAGGACTATGAGACAGAACTTTCTGTTGTTTGAGTTATTCCCCTTGGGGGACTTGGTCACAGCAGCCCTAGCAAAGTAATGTAGATAGTAACTGACTTTCCTGGTCAGAATCCAACTATTCTCCTCAAGAATATTAATTACACAGGGACTAGAGCTGAGTAAAACCCAGTCTAGCCCTTGCCTAGCCACCAACCAACGATGACACAACTGGGCTCCCCTCTGTCTGGTTTCCTCCCCTCTTCTTCCCACTATCCCCCATTTTTTGAAATTCCTCTGGGGACCCTGGTGCAGAAGGGGACACGTCTCACCCAAGCAGCCCCCAAGTCACATCAGCAGAGGCCCTGAAGAAAACATTCCTGGCCACCTTGCACATCTCTTTTGGTAAAGGGAGGAATTTATATCAGCCCTAGGAAAGAACTCATAAAAAATGTGTCTTTGATGGTGAGCTCTTCCAGGTCAGAGGTCTTGGCTGATTTTTCTTAGGCTGTATAGAACCTGGGTTAAGCAGGTGTTCAGTTAATGCTTGCTGAGAGATCAGTGATTTAAAACATGGATGGCAAACAACCCCAGTGTCTGATATATGTATGTAATGCACTAGAATTATAATATGTAAAGAATCCTTGGGACCATATTTAATTCTTTTCTGCTTTCTTAAAGGAATTATGTGATCAAGCACATATATTTAGGGAATACTAGGCATAGACCCTTTTCATAGTGTTCACACCAATGAGTAGGAAGGTAGAAATGCTTTAGAGCAGTAATTTGAAAACATTTTGACTGTGGCCTATGGTCCACTGATGTAGCAGTTCTCACTTTCCTGTAGAATCTTCATTCTCCTCTTGTGCAATTCCTAGAAAGAGCTTTAAAACTGACATGTGCAGCTTCCTCAGGGAAGACAGAACCCAAGCCTTTGGCACACTGCAGTACATGCTAGAAGGTGCGTTTCTGCAGCGTTCTTCCTTGTGTACTGCCCAAACACCAGCACTTAGTTGCTGGTTTATAATAGGTGCTCAATAAATATTTGTTGGCTGGCTGACCCTATAATACATAAAATTTTAGTGATTTACTCCATTAGTAGCTTACCAGTAACCAGCTTGTAATCACAGGTAAAAATTTAAGTTGTGCAGTTGCATACCCTTCACCCAGAAGAATTGGAAGATTTGTCCTGGATCAGTGTGTGGTCTGTCAGGAAGAGCCTTGTGGCTCTCCAGTGGGTGGAGGGCCACATTATAGGATGGCTGTTACAGGGTAGTGTGTCTGTGTCTGTGTGTGTTTCAGTATAAGTGGATAATCGCTGAAGCTGGGTGATGCATATGTGGAGGTTCTATTCTTGGCCTATTTTTGCTCCTGTTTGGAAATTTCCACAGCACAACAATTTTTAAAGTACAGCATGAACATAGATGGTGTTCCCACTAAAGAGACAAATTACCGTGCTCCCTTACCCCATCCACCTTCGCCAGGTGAAGGAAGTTGCCGTGCAAGGATGTTGCCAGCATGTCAGAAGATGGCAGGGCCTGAAGATCTGCTACTCCGTACGTGCCCAGTAGTGTATGGTACCTAAAACAACAGTCCATAAAGGCTATAAATGAGATGCCAATGGATGATACAGCATCCTTGAGTCGTTAAAAAAATAGGCTGTGGAACCACACCACCAGATTCAAAATCTCCCCCTGCACTTGTCAGCTATGGCCCTTTATTTGGTTTAGTTACTTAATCACCCTGTGCCTCAGTTTCTGCTGTAAAATGGGAACAATAATAATGCCTATCTCATCGGGTTGTTGGTTAGATGTAAAACAGCATAGAATTAGCTGTCAATAATGTTAACATCACCATCCTGGGGGAAGGTGGGGAGGAGTCCTAGAACATGCTGAGATCCATGGATCTGAAGGACCACGTGGCCTCCCTCCACTGAACTTTGTTCATACTGATGCCATTAAGATAAAATGGAAAATAAAATACCTAGTACCTACTTTATTAGGGCTGGGATATTGCTTTTGGTCAACCAAAAGTCTTTCTCATCTTGGTCCATGTCTTCTATAGCTTGCTGGGAAGGCACGAGGACAGTGAGGTTTGAGGTGGCTGACAGCAGGGGTTGTAGAGAAGCATTCTGAATCACAGGAGGAAAAGAAAGTGGCCTGACTCATGTTAGAGGACAAATAGGGCTGACTTAAGGCTTGGCAGAGATGTCACTTTCCCATGTGATGTCATTCAGGGGTAATGGGAAGGTCCTAGGGATCCTTCTCCCAAATCCATCCCACCTATTGGCTGATGCCTCATATTCCCTCTGAGACTCATTTTTTTAATTTAAATGTGTATGCCTCATCAAAAGGCAAATTTTCATGATCAGGTCACACTTGGAGTCATTTACCCTTTAGTCTAAGTAAAGGGTCAGAGCATAGTCTTGATAGGATCATGCACGTGTGTGGGTATACGTGCATGTGTGTGCACATGTATATGCAGGGAACTTGAGAATCCTTAGAGGGCTTTGGAAAAGGATGGTGGAAACAACTTCAGCATGGAAGAGAGACTAGAGGCCTGAAATCAAACTTTTGCTACTTTTTATTGTTATATAGACCGAGTTCTGGATAGACGCATTGGTGTGTTTATGGTTAGTAACCTGCTTTCCAGAAAAAACAAACAGAAGCCCTGGTTTGTAGTGTTTGCTGATTTTTGTGGTGTAAATATTCCCACCATGGCTGATTTCAGGCTACCACATGGCAGCATTCAGAGTGGAGATGGGAAGGCTGTGCTCTCATGAGCTAGGATGAGCTGGGTCCAGTACACCACCGGGCAAGCTTCTGTGTGTGGGGTCAGTCTCTGTGGGAATCAGCATGCACAGAGGGTCTCTCGGTGCCTGCTTTCCCATGTGGTGGGGTCAGAGAGGCCCCACACCGAAGCAACGGGAAGCGGTCCTGGAGTGGGCGCTGTCCAGGCACTACTTGTGTATCTGTTTAAAGGGGCTAAACTACTTGTCGTGATGGTTGGGCTGGGCCGGCCACCTTGGTCCACTCAGGCAAAGATGACAGACGTTCAAACAGCTGGGCAGGGTGGGGATTGGATTCCTTGTTGTAGAACTTTCCAGGGGACAGGAAAAAGCTCCTCTGGGCATGTTGCGCGAGAGCGAGAGCTAAGCCCACGTGAAGTATCCCAGATTGCAAATGTAAATCCTAAATCTAACTTGGTGAATTACAATGATGAATTATGTTGACTTTTTAAAAAGACCTCTGTGATGAATGAGGCTATGTATTCTTGAATTGGTTGACCACCCTCACTTATCCTAGACTAGAAATTCTCAGCCCTGATGGCATGTTAGGATCACCCGGGAAGCTTTTATAATATACTGATACCAAGGGCAAACTTCTGACCCATCAAATCAGACTGTCTGGGGGTGGCAACCTAGGCCTGGCTATTTAAACAATGTGTGATTCTAAAGTGCAGTCAGGGCCGAGAACCATTGCTCTAGAAAACTGCCCTCCCTCCTTCTTACCAGCTACATTTTCTGTTTTCTATTGTATGCATTCCAAATTGCTAAAACTATATACATTCCCAGTCCTGAATTCCAACAAAGGTACTCACATTTATCCACTGGTTAAACACAGCTGCCGCGGAGAGAAACGACAATTCCTTATTCGTGTCGTGCCAGGGAGGGAGGGAGAGATGAGAGAGGACACGAGAGAGTAAACAATGAGAAGCATAATCACAGTGCATTTCTGCAGAGCCTGCACTTGGCTTCCTGGGGCCAGGCCCACTTTCCCTGCCAGCCACGCTAATGCCCACCTGAATGGGTGCCTAGCTAGCTGAATCTCCATGTCACCAGAGCTGCATGGTTCTTTCATGCGTAGTGAAGGGATTATCCTTTATATTCAAGGTAAAGAAGTAATTCCAGAAACTTCAAATGAAAGAATAACCTGAAGTTCTTCCAAGTCAGAATTTAGGCTGTACGAATGTAGCCACCCAGCCCAATGGGGGGGTCATAGAGCTCAGAACATAGTCCCTTTCAGAGCCAGTGTTGAGTAGAGGCTTGGAACATGGGCCCAAACCATGTAGGTTTTCATTCTGGCTTGGCCATTTCCTAGTTCCTTAGGTAAGTTACTCAATCCCTCTGGGCTTCAATATTCTCATCTGTAAAATGGGGATAATAAAAGTTCCAGCTGATGAGGTTAATGTGCAAACTGGAGGAGCTAATGATTTAAAGTGTTTGGAGTAGAGGCTGGCATCAGAATAGGACAGGGTATGCTCGGGAAGTTTTAGCTGCTCTTATTTTTAATTTATCCACTATGGAATTGATTAACGAGCATATCTGTCAAACAACCACAATTGGCACCAGGTTGCAGTGAAGGGAGGTTATAAGACATAAAAAAGAAAAGATGGCCTCTGCTCTTACACAGCTCACAGCAGTGGGGGGAGTTAAGACTTGAAAAGATAACCAACGATGCCCATAGATCGGTGACATCTGAAGGGGCGATAGAGAAAGCTCTGGATCCTGAGTTTAGAAAGACGGGGCTTATTTCCTGAGTCTGGCACTAACTAGCTGTGTAATCTCAGGCAAGCCACCTAACCTGTCTGAGAAACCCAGTGTCCTATCTGAAACATGAATGTGGTGGTGCCTTATACCTGAATTGTGAATATTATGTGCATTAATGTACACAAGAGCATTTTTAAACTAGTAAATACCATGAAAATTGCAATAACAATTATACATGCAAATTTACACAAAGGCAATAAATACATCAGGGCTGTCTCAATTCCTTTTTGAAAGTAGTTGAGTGTATTAAATAAACACCTGTGAAAACGTAAGTTAGGAAACTGGTAAGTATAAGAGCTGAGATTCTTGTATATATTTGTAAGCATAAGCCCTTGGAGGGGCTGCTCTGAGAGAGAGGAGGGTGTCAGTGGACCTAAGCTGATGGCAGCAAGTCTGCGGGGGAGGGGCCAGCCAGCAGGGATCTGGGTGAGCTCAGCTAAGCTGTTCGCAAGGAAAGTGAGTTGAGCTTGTAGGAAGATGCCTGGATGGAGATGTCAGGCGGAGGATTTGGACTTCCCCTTGCTTTGCACAGGAGAAGGGAGACATCGCACAAGCAGGGTTTATGGTTTTAAGGAACGTGGCTTATGGACAGTGTAGAGAAAATGTTGGGTGTATGCGCTAGCCCCTGGGGGTTGGGAGATAGCTCCTGGGTCCCATGGGGTGAGAGGGAAGCTTGAAGCAGAGGCTGGGAAAGCCCCTGGGGAGGCAGGGAGGCTGAGGGTCTGGTGCTACAGTGGCCAAGGAGAAGTGGACTTGGGCGCTGCTTAGTTTGGGCAGGTCCAGCCCTGGGATTGCTAGGCCAGTGGTGTCCGTGGTGGTGGTGGGGAGGGGGCAGGGGGCAGGAACCAAACCGCAGTGAGCCGAACAAAAACAAGTGGTGAGCAAATTCATCAATTTACTTTACTTCCCATTTCAATAAATCTTTATAAATAGTGGGAGGGAAGTAGGAGACAAGACAAAGACTGGCCCTCATGAATCTGTAGTCCAGCGGTGGGGGTGACAGATAAATGTACTAGGAGTGACAATTCAGTGCGGGCTGTGCTGCAGCGAGAGACTCCCCTGCACTGAGGTGAAGTGCTTGGGCTCTGCACTTACACAGCAATGGGCTGGATTCCTCACTCTGGAGCTCAGAGACGGAAGGCAAGTTTGTCTGGGCTTTTAGTTTTCTCATCCATAAAATGGGCAGAATAATAGCATCAACCTCCGAGGGTTTTTGGGAGGTTGAAATGCAGTGCTGCTGCATGCTAAGGATTTAGTGAGATGCTGGCACACAGCAAGTGTATACAGCCCCCCGGAGATGGGTAAGCACGGGGTGCTCTGGGAACCTGCAGGTTGCAGGGCAGGAGTGCCCAGGACAGCAGGGCCAGTTGGTTGCTCAGTAGGGAAGTTTGGGAATGGAAAGACGTAGAATGGCAAGAAAGGAAGTCACTCTGCTTGGTACACAAGAAGGTCCCAAATATAAGTGAGCCAGCCCCCTTGGGCCTGTACAAAATGTGTGCCCCGCAGAACACATACGCCGTTCTGAGAGAAGCAGCTCGCTTCATATAAAACCTCCTGGAGCAAATGACTGGTAGGGCACTTTGAAGGCACTGTGGCTAAGAGCCTTTTTTGTTTCTTTTTGGAAAGTATTTTGTCTTCGTTATTCTGCATGGGAGTTCACCTTAGATGACTTACCACTGCTGCATTTCCGTAGCACAGAGCACCATCTCCTTCGTAGTCCTCTGGGCAAACACAGCTCCAGACGCCAGAAGTAAACTGACAGGTTGCCTGATAAAAACAAAGATGGAAGAAATGGTTCGCTCTCCTAACTAAAGAGTGAGATCTGAATTACATCTGCTAGACCTCAGGCTCCATGTCAGGGGAGAGCTGCAGGTTTGGGACTGAATGATGGAGAAAATGGCCCGCAGACCCTTCAGCATTGCAATGAAAGGCTCCTGTCTGCACGTTTGGTGCAGTTCTTACATAATCACTATTACATTCTTTCTTCTTTTCACTGCTGGATTAGCAAGTAAAAATACAGGATACACCATTAATTTATGTTTCAGATAAACAAATAGTTTTAGTAAAAGTATGTCCTGTGTAATATCTGGGGACATACTGTACTGAAAAAGGATTCATCGTGTATCTGAAATTCACATTTAACTGGGTGTTTTATATGTTGTCTGGCAAACCTATGATGCTTCGTCCACATTTTGGAATGAACTGGAAGTTGAAGTAACTTCTCACATTGGTTGGGCTGAAATTAAGCAAGGAGTGTTGGCACTCTGTCAGATTTATGAAGTGCTGACATGATTCTTAGGTAACAGATACTTTGGGGGCATCTCCTCCTATTTTTTTTCTTCTTTGAAAACTACTCCTGCCAAACACACACACGTATTAGGGGAGGTATAGCAGCCAGGTTCACCATAGGTAACCCCACTGCCTGGCCAAAATTGACTGTGGCTTATCTGTGGACACCTGGACCCAGCTGGGCTGGTCAGATTATTCCTTTCATGATTTGGAATTGGGACGTGAGGTGCTGATAAGTTAGTGGGCATCACTGGGGCTGAGAGGTGATGTGGCTCTAAGAATGGGGATCTGTGTATCCCAAGGTGCACAGAGAAACATTCAAAGCTGGGAGAGACAGAGAGACAGAGACAGAGACAGAGGGACCAGGAGAACACAGATCCATGGAGGAAGCAGATTGAGAGATCGCATAGTCTCTGAGAACGGGAGAAAGAAGTTGCCTTGATCCTGGCATCCCTGGGTCTTGATCCTGGGTCCTTGGGAAGTCTATTGTATTTCTTGACCATGGGACCCCCCACCCATGCCCGCCAATTCCATTTCTGCTTAAGCTGATTGGCGTGCATTCTCTGACTTGCGGTCAAAAGCGCTGTGACGAAGCTGTTGGTTGTCTTGGTTCTGATGTTGGGTTCTTAGTGATGTTCTTTTGAAAACATGGGCATGGCAGCTTGAACATCTCTGCCTGCTCTTCCATAATTCAGACACAGGCATAACCTACCCTCAAATGCACATTTTCGCCAGTAATTTGGGTAAAACTCTGTTGTGACATTTAAAATGGGAGTCTAGTTACCCTTTAAACCAACCCATTGATAGAGAATTGCCAGATTTAGGAAAGAAAAATACCAAGTTGAATATGAATTTTAGATAAGCTATAAATAATTTATAGTATTAATTTGTCCTCTGTGATATCTGGGACATCCTTGCACCAAAGGATTATTTGTTATTTGAAATTCAGGTTTAACTGGGAATCCTGTATTTTATCTGGCAATCATACGGTGGTTCTTCAAAGCTTAGGAATGCAATGAAACTTGCATTAGCTACTCAGATTCTACTTAGGGACTCTGAGAAAGATTTTGTACATTACTGGACCCAGATAAGAAATAACATAACTTTCTTTCTTGCTCAAGCAATTTTTTTTTTTAGTAAGGATAAAAGAAATCGAGTGACTCACCAGTGGGTGACACAGCCCAGTTTGCTCCAAGCATGAAGTTGGCTCACAGTCAATCCCATTGCCTCGAAACCCTTTCCTGCACTCACACTCATTCTGCAACAGAGACAAAGCGGGTTATTGCAAACAGCTGCCTCCCATGCCTTGCCCTTGAAAAATGAACATGGAAACCAGAACTGTTTGGCCCTACTTGAGAGGAGCATTAATGTCTTTTGTTTGTTACGCTTCAGATTCCAGAGCTGTTAGACTCCACATTCTGTGTGTATTTCCCAATCTGATAGTTCCCTGGTACTTTCTTTTTTGATTCATTACCTGAGAAGGGCCATATGGAGAATCTCAGAGAGATCTCGGAGCCTAAAGAGCATCACATTGGAAAAACTGGCCCTTCCAAGGGAAAGGTTAGGTAAGCCATGGGGTATCCACTTGGGGAGGGGCGGTCCCTGCACAGGCCCTTGCTAGTCTGTAAGGTTATTTTGTGTAATTGTAAATCGGCGTTGCCTTTGAGGTGGTGAATTTAAGTAAGCCACCACCTCTACATGGACAACCTGTGAGCAGGTGGCTGAGCAGGTGGACAGCACTGTCATGCACTAGGAAGTCTCCTTACTTCCGGGAAAGTGTAGGCCCATACCAGGTTCACACCTTGGTGAGCGGGGCCAGGCAGGATTTCAGTTCTACTTGCCAGGTAGGATAGGTACACAAACCAGATTACAGGAGCAGTGGTCCTGCTCCTGCAGCTATTTAGTAAGATGATCATGACAGGTTGTGGGACAGAATGGGGAAATGTTTGTGTGAACTGCGGAGTAGGAATTAAAAACAAAACTGTAATAATATAGAGGAAAACAAAAACCTGTCCAAAGGAGAGGAAGGAAAAAACCTCACCAGCCTACAATAAGACATATCTCCATACCTGTCAGAAGCATTAGTATCAAAAAGACAGCAAACAGCAATGTTGGTGGGAATGTAAAGGGCCCCTTGCTACGCTGTTGGTGGGAACGTGAACGGGTGCAGCCACTACGGGGAACAGTGTGCAGGTTCCCCAAACATGAAAAATAGAAATACCGCATGACCCAGTGACTTCTGGGTATTTACCCAAAGAAAATGAAAACACTAATTTGAAAAGATATACAATCCCATGTCCACTGTAGCATTATTTACAATAGCCAAGCTGTGGAAACAACCTAAGCGCCCACTGATAGATGAATTGTGAAACAATTTATATATATACACATACATGCACAGTAGGGTTTCAGCCATAAAAAGGAATGAAATCTTGCCATTGGTGACAACATGGATGGATGGGCCTTGAGGGCGTAATGCTAAATATACTGCTAAGTAAAATGAGTCAGACAGAGAAAGACAAATGTGTATGATCTCTTTCATATGTGGAATCTAAAAGAAAAAAACCCCAGGTAGGCTGCTCCCTAGAGAAGAGAGTGATGATTCCCAGAGGTGGGGGGGGTGGGGGGTGGAGATGAAAGGGTGAAGGGGGTCAAAAGGTAGAATGAGGAATATTACCCATGTCATAAATTTGTTGTCACAATCAACCATTGTCACTGCTATGATATAAATGATATAAAGGCTGCAGTAAGTTCTAGCCCAAGGACTTCTGTGTACAGGAGAAAAGCCGCTACAGGAATCCTGCTTCCCCTTTGCTCTCTGCCACGTCACACCCACCTGCCCGGGGCCTATGTACAAACAGGCGGCGCTCTCATGGCAGCCGCCGGCGCTGGGCAGCAGGCAGTTGTTGATTACTGAGCAGTCTCTCCCGTCCCCGGTCCATCCCTGCTGGCACACGCAGGTGTGGGTCCCCGGGCCAGTTCTGATGCATTCTGCCTACAGGAGGAAGAGAAGAGGCAAAACCTCTGAAGCCTCAGGTCAGCCGTGGATTCCCAAAGCAAAAAAGGATTTCCAGAGGTACAGTCTAGAAACACATATTTGCGTGGAGTACAGTAGAAATGATTAAATACACATTTGCATTGAAATCAGTGGAAAAGGGGACATAATTTAAAGAACAAAACTCCTTGTTGGTCACCTATTGGCCATTAACATCGCTGTCATTGGGCCAGGGACTGTTCTGAATGTTTTGCAGGTTTAAGCCATCATTGTGAGGAAGGTACTGTTATTGTCTCTATTTTATAGATAAGGAAACTGGGGCTCAGAGGAGCCAAGTAACTTGCCCAAGGTCACACAGCTACAAAGAGGGAACGTAGGTCGTCGATGTGATGTGAAGCCCATGCTCCTAACCACTGTACCAGCTGCAGGCCTCCCAGGAAGACCACAGAAGGAGGCTGAAGGACAGGGTGGCAGGGAGTGAGGTGCGGGGTAAGCTGTTGAGATGGTGATTTGAGTGGGCAGGGCTAGCCCAGTGGGAGGCCGGTGGGCTGGGGGAAGGCATTGGGCCTGGTTTCATTCTTAGAGCCAGGCGAAGTTACTGAAGGGGTTTCAGCATGGGGGAAACATGATCTGTTCCACTTCAAGCCACTCTGGTTGCAGGGGACAGTGAGTGATCAGTGGGTAGGCAAGAGAGGAGAGGGAGATCAGATATTAAACTGTCGGTAAGAGATGAAGGTGAGTGGGGACATTCAGAAGGAACTAATGGAAACAGTGGTGGGCTTAGCTATACTCCTGACAACAGTAGATCTTAGGGCAAGTCACTTGCATCCCTGAGCCTCAGTTTCCTCATCAATAAAATGGGGGTACCAACACAATTCTGCACTGGGCTGGTAGGAGGAGCAAATGAGATGGGGTTCATTAAGGTGGCTTGTAAACTCTAACATTTGAATCAGTAATTATCACTAACGATCTCCAATACCTGATCCTCAGGCTGTGTTTTTAAGATCTCAAACACCCCTTCCCCTGCACAAGTGGATTTAGGAGGCGAAGGCTCACAGAAGGCACCCCGCACCGACTTTAAAATGCAAAGTTCAAGCAAGTGTGCTTCATGCAATGAAAAGCCATCAGACACAATCCCTTCCCTCAGGATTTCCTAAGACACCAGGCAGCTTGGAGACAAAGACCAACACTCACATTGTGACTACAGCCCCCGGGGGTTAATTCCGCACAAGGGTCCATCTCTGAACAGAGGTTTCCGTCCCCTTCATATCCTGCTTTGCAAACACAGCTGCAAAGAAGAGTGAGTGCATAAAACAAGCCCCAGAAATATAAGCACCCTGAGGAAGGCCAGCCTGCCAGGAGTGACACAATTCATGGCCAGGCGGCTGGGCAGTTTGTGCCTATAGGGGAGCCAGGGTACCAAGGTGGGCACAGGCCCTTCAGGGCTCTGCAGTCAGACACATCTGGGTGGGAATACAGGTCCCACCTCTTAGCAGCCATGTGACCCTGGACGAGTCCCTAAACCTCTGGGAGATTTTGTTTCCTTATCTGGAGAATGGGTGTAACATCTCCCTTGTAAAGCTGCGCTGAAGAGTAAATGAGCTAACGCACGTTGAACATTTGGTAGGGCACTTGAACAAACCTGCATCTTGTAAGGCTAGACATCTGGTAGCTTTTCTGCTCTTATTGGGCTGGAGTTCACCTCTTAATAACTCTAGTTATTATCTCTGGTTCAGCAGAGAACAACTCTACCTTCTCTTCTATGTGACAGTTCTTAAGATACTGGAGGATGACAGTCAGATGAGACCTCCCCTCTCTCCCCTCTCCCTTTCTGGTCCCCCAAATTTTCCTTTTTTGGAACATAACATTCTGTGAGCTGACATAGTTTACTGACCCATTAAATGGGGTCTATTCATTCATTTGATCAACCGACATTTACTGAGTAGCTTGTGATAGGTGTTGGGCCACCCTGTGGCTCCTCATGCCCCCATGTCACAACTGCCAATTCAGTCATATGTGTATCCCAAACATCTAAATAAAATTATTTTTCATGCATCAAAGCTCCTAGAGTACATTATATGGTGCCCAAATTAAGAAATAGACTGATCTGGTCCGACACTCTTTGACTGAGCTACGTTTACACAGTACATAGGACCATGTTGGTGTTCTTCTGCCCATGATTTCAGAGGTTTTAAGGGTGATTTTGATTACTTCTGATTTTTGCCTTCTGTGCTGGTGTAGATCCTAACTGCTCAGGCAGCTGTATTTCTATCGTACCACTGTGGAAGAGAAAAGACAGTCTCTTCCACATAAACTGGTAAGCAAACGAGGTAATTACAAATTAAGGAAAGTGCTGTAAACATAAGGCCAAGAATTTCAGACATCCTCTGCGTCTCCCAGGATATGTTTCTGGGTGGCTACTGCTTTTGAGACGGATATTCCCAGAGTTGAACCTTGCCTCTGGCATTTCCTCCCAGGCCCACTGCATATGTTAGACAGTATGAAGGAGCCGAATGGCGATCCAGTGACCCAAGACCCAATTTCCTGTAAGATGCCCTTAACAGGGGAGTTATTATGAATGGCTTTAGGAAGTGAAGGAGTTTTTGAAGGGTTGGAAAGTTGGTGGACAAACATTCATTTCATTCATATGAGTGGTGATAATTAGTTTCTGTGACTGAACACCTATGATGTGCCAGCCCTAGTCCTGAGCACTTTTACATTCAGTTTTCTAATCTGCTTTATTGCCTTGCTACATGGACACCACCACCCTAATTGTACTGATAGGGAAAGTGAGGCTCAGAGAGGTTAAGTAACTTGTCCAAGGTCACACAGCTGCTAAGTTTCAAGGCAGCCAGTGCTTCCATTTGAACCCAGCTCAGTCTGAGGTTTTCTCCACAAAAGTCACACTGGTGGCTGGAGAAAACAGGCCTTTGTTTACAAAGAGTTTTGATATGGGCTGGGGCAGTCTAGAGGTAACACAGCAGTAGTGGGCTGTTAAGGGTTGTGCCCTGCCTCAGGCCTACCTCGCTGTCCCATTGCTGTATTCACAGGTGGCGTGGATGTGACAGAACTGCACATAGGGCCCACAGGCTGAGGTCTGCCTATGGCAGAACCTGCCAGTAGAGCCGTGTCTGCATGTGCCAGCAAGGCAGGCCCCATCACTGTCGATCCTGTTGTCGCATGTTCCGTAAACGCACAGACACTCTGAAAGAGAAGGAGAAGGGCCATTCAGAGATCATGCTTAGCAATGGGGCACATGGGTCACGGAGGACAGGGCCACCTTGCTTGACCCCCACTCACTCCTGTCAGAGCAGAACCTGGGGCTGAGCCAGGGGAAGGCTCCGGATGCTGCTGCTTACCGTCCCAGGTGTCCGTGTGCCTGAGACAGCCCATGGCGAGCTTGCCTGTCCCATCAAAAACATGAGCTCCCGGCTGCTTTGTGTGTGTGTGTGGGGGCGGGGCTCTGAGCAGGAGGGTTGGTTGTGAGGGTGTGAAAGAGGCCAAGGAACTCAATTTTTTTCGACTTTGTCCTTGAAGAGTTTAGTCTGGAAATTTCTCACCTTTTCAAGAAGGCATTCTGGAATGAATGGACGTGATTTCTACTGCCAGCATGGTCTCTGATGTGCAGCCTATATATTTGTCCTTCACTATCACAGCAAACCATTGATAACTAGTGGCCTATATTTGTACACTGACCTTATTCTAGGCTTTGCACCAGCTTTTAACCTGTACCATCTCATTAACAAGTAGCCTCAGAGGGTAGGTGCTTTTATCACCCCAGAGGAGGAAACGGGGGCCCAGGGAGGTGAAGCAAATTGCCTAACTTGCTGCTAAGTTCCCAAACAGGGACTTGACCTCAGGCCCCTAAATTCCATTTCCATTACCGACCTTGTGTAAACACAGTAGATCAGTATATTAACTGGCACCTCCACATGCCTCTTATCTAAACCTTAGCGGCTTTCTTTGCTTTTGATTATAGATACTTAAAAATTGCAACACGAGCCAGCTCATGAGACTAAGGCTCCTATGTGCATGGGAGTGAAAAGGACACAAAATTCTTAAAGACAGGTGGCAAGGATTGAGGGGCTTGCATGTGATCAGAAACAAAGGACCCTGGGTGTGCCCCAAGAGGGACTGATGAGAGAGGAGTGAGTGTGAGTGCTTAGAGCCAACATCCAGGAGAGAGGAGAGAAACAGTGCAGCAGCTGGAAAAAGCACGGCTGGATTTAGAACAAAAGACTTTTCATAAACTTTTAAGCAAATGACAGCCTTATTTGCAAGGAACAAGACCCCAGAAAGAAGAGGAGGCTCCCTGCACGAGAAGCCTGGGCGTCCTGCCCTGTTGACTTTGGAATAAACCCCTATCCCTCAGAAGCTATTTGGCAAAAAGAACATAGGAGTGGAATCAGCAGCCCTGAGCCGCTGGGCTCTGGTTTTCCACCTGCCTTGGGAGGTCGTTGTGAAGATCACATGGCGAGAGAGGGGAAGAGGTCGTTTTGTAGCAAACGGGTGGAGTTCGTAGTCATTAAGAACAGCTTCACTTACTGATTTCTTGCTAGGGACAAGCTCTGTGCTAAAGCCCTAAACTACGATCTAACTTCATCAACAACCTATCATGTGGGTACCAGCATTATCTTTATTTTGGAGATGGGGAAACTGAGGCTCAGTAAGAGACTTTTCCTAAGATCACACAGCCAGTAAGTTGCTGAGGCCTGATGTAACTTCAGGTTGGTTTGACTCCATAACAAGCTCTGATCTATTCAGCTTTTCCTGTCAAGTTCTAATCATAGCTTAGAAATCTACGCTGACATCTCTATCTTTCTGTCTGTCTATCTATCTCGGTCACCTACTTAAATATACACATGATGTTATTTTTAAGAACATAACGCATTTTTTCTAAGGTTACAAAACTGCACTTATTTCAATGCCTAGTGTTGAGGAACTTCCTACATGTTCTACAAGCTTCTTGACATTTATGTCACTGAACTTAGAATAACAGCAACAGTCACCGCCATAGGTAATAATAAGAGGCAGCATGTTTCTACTGCACACTAGGTGCCAGGCACTCTCTGAAGACAAGTGCTTTCTACTTACAACTTATACTAACCTTCTGAGGTAATTACTACTACTGTTCCCATTTTATAGATGAGGAAACTGAGGGGCAGAAATGTATGGTAACTTGCCTGAGGTCACACATTTTGCAAAGAGAGTAGCTGATGGAAGACAACTGCTTGAAAGGTTGAGAGTGAGTTTGTTTCTCATACTGAAACTGAATTCACTCCAGGTTTGTGGGAAGCCTTAAGAGACTGGCTTCAAAGTGTGGATCTTGGACCAGCAGTGGAGGTATCCCCAGGCATCTGGTTACAATTGCAAATTCTCAAACCAATATAATATTGTACATTGGCTATACTCCAATAAAAGATATATACGAAGAAAGAATTGCTAATTCTCAGATGCCACCTAGGCCTGCTGCCTCAGGAACTCCCAGGTGGGGCTCAGCAATGTGGCACATGCTATAGTTTGAGAACCAGATGCCCTGTGAGGGGGGCCTTCGCCAAGCAAAGGGGCACACAGCACCAGCCCACACCACTGGCTGGCTGCTGTGCAGACAGATCCTGGCTGAGGGGTGGAAGGGAGCTCTGGAAGGGCCACTTAC